GCTCTGTAAACTATTGTGCTAAAATATGAAAATGACACTGTATGTCCATTTCACTATAGAGAGCGGTACAGAGATTTGGAAGATGCAGAAATGTCAACGTCATTTGTTGCGGAAACCAAATTAGATTTCAAGAGAGAGACACTCAAGGGCAGTCTACCTTGCCCTAGAGATTAAAAAAAAAAAAAGGCATCCTAATTGTAAGTTAAATTGATTTAAACTAGTTTTTCCTACCTTCTAACATCCAATAATGAGAAGAATATTAATAACCAAACCAAACTAAAACTTAAGTCTCATCAAATGAAGTCGGTTAAATAAGAAAAATATTAATAAGGGTAAAAATAACAATCGACAGAAGCTTGTTACCAAGACCCATCCACCTTAATGGAAAAACAATGAAAAAATTAGGATTTAGTTTTTTTTAATTCAAAAGTTGTTTATTGAAATTTTCTTATTCTTAAAAGATGTGTATAGAAAAAAAAATTTATATAATATTATAGGCGTTGCTAAATGTCTATTATAACTATTTTTATTTAGGATATAATTATCATTAAATTAATATTTCATTAAGAGTAGTGCTATTAGCACTCTATGAATTATTTTATACCTCTATTTCTTTGGACCCTCACTTATAAATTTTGAAACCCTTAAAATTTCTTATCCCCTCCGAATAATACCAAAATTATCCTTGTAAAAACATTTCACCAATTGAATACACACCCCACACCAAAAAAAACCCCACTTCCAAAAAAACTTAACAAAACCCACGAAGAAAAAGAATAAAAAGCAATATAATTACTGTCTCTACTGTCTCATCTACCATTGTCATAGTTGATATGCTCTCTTTATGTATATATATACATATAATTTCTTAGTTTTCTCATAATAATTTCTTCTCTTCCAGAAAAAAATTATAATAATTGGTTTAATTTTCTTAGTAAAACAAGTCCGAGCCCATGAATAATATTCATTTACTTGTTTCCGAACAAATAATAAGGCCAAGTTTGGCATCCTCCAAAAAATTCAAAAAGTCAAAAAGTCACTATCCTATTTAAGTCACATCATCTTATTTAAGTCATATCACCTCTCTAACACATCACTTCAAACCCAACCCAAATCCAACCCATATTTCATAAAAAGTCAAAAAATGCACTTATTTAGTCTTCTTAAACTTGGCGTAAATATTCGGTTACTGATTCCCGAACAAATAAACAATGCTCGAGATTGTGTTCTCGAATTTCGATCATATATTTGAAAGTTCAGTCCCGAAAAAATGACAAACAAATTTTATTATTTGTCATTTTTTAAAAAAAAACTGACCTTTACAAGGCCAATCTTCTATAAGCTAAGAACAACATTAAAACTGTGAACCTCCTCTAAATTTTTATTGTTGTACTCCTATCGTCTTATAAAGTTGTAATTGTCAAAAAAACTTTTACTCATTATCATTGCTATAAAGTTTAGGTAATCAAATGATTGTCACCGTTACCGCTGAAATATTGTTGCAAACAAGTTTTCAAGGTTTTGAGGGTGAGTAAATTTTAAATATGAGATTTTAAGAAGATAGATGAGTGATAATGAAGGTAGGTACTCTCATAAATCCTAATTCATGATGTAGTTGGTGTGTATGTTTAATTGTGAAATAAAGTGTCCCAAAATTAATAATGTCATTTATAGTAATTTTATTTGATATTATTATTATAATAAAAAAATAAAAATAAAAAAACTAAAAATTGGGAGATTCAAAATAATTTATGGAGTGCTAATGGTAGCACTCTACATTAAATGTGTGCCTTAAATTAATTAGATGTGTGAAAATAAGATAATTTTACTTACACCACTATTTTACCTCTTTACACTCTCCATATGAGTTTTTTTTTTCTTTTCAATTTTATCCATGTGTGAAATTACCTTTAAGGACAAAACAATAAAATTAAATATATTTTATTATCTCCTTACACCCCTTGATCTTCAATCCTTACTCCTCTTTTCCTTTCTTAATTTTTCTTCTCTTACACATTTTTTTTCAAAAAGTGAAAATCATAATATTTTGATCATTAAAAAAAACAATAAATGAAGAAACGGTGATAAAAAATCATCAAAAAAGTGAAATTGTGAGTTTTTTTTTAATTTATTTGGTAGATTTTTATTTCATTTTTTTGGATTGGTGTTTGAATTTCGTTCGGTGGTTCGAAATCGAACAAAATAAAATAGTCCGACATCACATTGCCAAACAAAAAATATAAGTCTGATAAGCAACTACCGAATAAAAAATACATTTCCGATAATCCCAAACCGAATTTTTTTAATTTGTTCGGTTTTTCATTATCATATATATTCAATTTCATTTAATTTTTTACTTTTTTTGCCTGGAATGATTACTTATACTCATTACAATAACCCAAGTACTACAATACTAGTGAACTCTAATCATGAATTCATTACAGACGAAGTTTGTTAAGTTTTTTTTTTATGAATACGATTTTTTCTTATTTTTAATTTGTATTGAGTTTTATTAATAATTTGAGGTATAAATATGTTTATTATCTTTAGATTTTTAGTAGTCATGAAGCATTAATTAAATAGGCTTCTGATGTTGGGAAGAAGACTGGATTTGTCATTGTTATAAAGACATCAAATGTGAGAGGTAATGGTAGAAGACTAAAACTTACACTTGCTTGTAAAAAATGTGGTTACTATAGAGACAACAGGATCAATGGAGAACGATTGAAGTTGACATATTCTAAAAAGTGTGGATGTCTATTTCTATTAAAGGGAAAAAATTACTTACAAATTATCAAAACAAATTATGATAACATGTTTGATTAATAGATGCAAATAATGATTGATTTTATGGATACTATATGGATATTCGTACACTTGATTTTTTTTTATAAATACTTTCATTTATGATTTTATAGATGCGTGTTTGATTTATGATTTTTTTTTATGAATGCTTTAAGAAAAAAGTAAATCTTTCAATGTATCGCGATGGGAGCCTAAACAACTCTATTGTAATTTGACAACATGATACTAAAATAATCTCATTTGTATAACAATGTATCACTGAACAAACACTTCACAAGTGGCCCAAATGAATTTCTTGTTATCATCTAATTCGACGGCAACATAATACTAAGAAAAAAAATATTGTCCGATAATATAGCACTAAAGTAATTTAAATTAATTAGCATTATATTACCAAACAGACCCGCCACAAATTAAAAAATCATTTTTTGGAAGAAATTAACTCTGTAAATATATAGCAACAAAATACTGGAGAGATTTAGGGTATGTTTGGTTTGTGTTTGAGAGATGTGTTTTAGAGATAAAAAGTACGAAAACATGTTTGGTTTAATTTTTTTTAAAAGATGTTTTGGAAAATTATTTTGAGAGAGTTTTGGAAAAAGTAATTGATTTGATATGTGTGAGAGAGATTTGTTTAGAAAACTTGTTTGGTTTACAAGTTTTGAGAAATTTTTTTAGAAAAATTTATTTGGTTTGATTATTTTTGAAAACTTATTTGTAGAGAAAATTTCCCAAAATTTTTTCAGAAAATCAAACCAAACGAGCCCTAATTTTTTCTGACAGCAAAACACCAGAATAATGTATATTATTTAGCACTGTGTTACCAAAATTAGTGATGTAAAGAGATGAAATAGTTAATTTAAAGTTAGTTTTGGTAATATATTGGAAGTGTAATGGAAATTACAATTTTTTTTAGTATTGTAATGAGATGGAAGCTGCAAAACAATTAAATAGTGGTGTAAGTAGAATTACTCGTGAAAATAAAATTTCTCTGAAACAAGCCCCTATTTACAGTTTTACCCTCCGTTCAAAAACTCGAAATCCTATATATGAGGCCACTACTACTACATCATCAAAAGACGTAGTCAATCCATCCTCAGTCATTACATAAATTGCAAGACAGATAGTGAAAGAGAATACCTTTGATTTGCAATAGTGCCACCCCCCAAGACTAAAAGGCCATTTCCCAATATTGGTCCCCGATGATGATCGAGGGTTGGTGCCAAGTAGGGTACATTGGATTTAAACCGAATTTTTGGCATAATATAACTACAGTGACTGCTCTCAGACCAAACGTTTGAGATTTGATAACATAAAACTCGAAAACAAATTTGACACTTACGACACAACTCCACCAGGTCAATTGGCTATATAGGTAATTCTATAATTCCTCAGCGAGTACAGAATGAAATCAGATTTCACACCACATTAACTTAGGATTAATTTCACTTGTATCCCTAAGATCACTATTTTTTTTTTCTTTTTCTTCTATTTCTTCCTTAAACTATCAATCTCATCTATTTAGGCTATGTTTGTTTGGGTGGACATGAGCTTGGGATTGGACTAATAGTCCAATAAAATTATTAATCTGATGTTTGGTTAAACAATTGAAGTAGGGATTAATTATTTTTAAACTTGACTATTAGTTAAGATAGGATATATAATCCAACAGATTCGTAGTCCTAGGACTATTAGTCATGGGAATGCTAATCCAGTCCGCCCAAACAAACATGGCCTTAATGCGTCAAATTTCTGATTTCAATTCATATAGACCAATTGGAGATGATTGTTCATATAGACCAACTGGAGATGATTATACACATCAGTAACCTTCAAAGCATAATTTGATGGTTTAAAAGGTCGTTTCAAACGTTCAACAATTTAACTATACAACTCCAAACACCCATCAAATTGGTTTGTGGGATGTATTTCGTGCAAAATAATAAGAAAAATGAGTGTTTGCTTGTATCGTTTAAGTAGTTCAAATTATAAAATGACTTTTTCCTATCAAATCAAGCGGTTATTGATTTGTACAACTCTAAAATTGGACTACATTGCCTGAAACCAAAAACTTTAATGACTACATTAGATGAAATTGATTGCTTATGGCTGTACAAAAAAGGTGGGGATAGCTAGGGGATAAAAGTAAAATTAACCCTTAAAGATATAAGCAAACCAAAGTGCATGGCGTACTGTGGGCAAATAAGTTCCATTAAGATGGTAGCCAAAGTAGTAAGATCCATACAGAATTTCTATAAATAAAATATTTCTAGCAATCAAATCAATGTCAATGGATAAGAAAATATTCAACCTTGTGTTTCAGATTTACCAATTGAAGGACTTGATCCGCACTGATATGGGGGGTACTGTGGGCAAAAAGTTCCATTACAAACAGAATCACATACAATTTAACAATATGTATAGCAACAAGAACTGAACAGAAAGAACACAGATTTTGAAGCGACAGAGAGCCTAATGGATTAGCGTACTCAAGGATAGGCCAAGCGGGAAAGAATTTTCCTTTAGCATAAGCACAAGGTCAAGTATAAAGTATACACAAAAGCAAAGTGGGCAAAGAAAGCAGACCTCAATCACTAATGCAAAATGGCCCATAAAGACTGTCCATAACAGCAAATTGCATGTTCTCTGATGGTCTCCAATGACGTTTCCGTTGGTTTATGAACCAGTTGTTTATCTGCTTCTGGTCTAGGCCCGTTGACTCAGCCAAAGCAACCTTATCAGCTTCCTGCATGACAAAGCAACCTTATCAGCTTCCAGCACGGCGAATAAAAAAAATCTAGCAGTTTCTAAGCATGCCATGGTCTATGCTAAAACTTTACAGCAGCCAATACTTGGGTGTGAATAAAAAAAAAAATCATTTAACAAAAGCAGCAGAATTAGGAACAGAGGATCTTCATCTCCCACCAAGACCTACAATAGGGGGGGCAAGAATTAAATTTTCCTAAAAAAAGGAAATTTTAAAAAATTGTTAGGGAGGGAACCTATATAAATTGAAAGGGTAAGTTACTTTCACCCCCTGAAGCATGGACCATTTCTCACTTTTGGTCCTTGAAGTAAATGTTCTTCCACTTTGGTCCCCAAACTAATTTTTGTTTCCCACTTTAGTTCAATTATCAACTAGGGACAATTTTGGAATTTTAAATTTTGAGTTTTTCACTTCAGTCCAAAAATTGAAGTATTTTCACCTTTGCACCTTAAATCCAAACTCAACCTAAAGTCGCCCTCCCTGCCACCCGCCCCCAAAACCACCTAATCTCAAAAACCAACTTTATATCAAATGAACAAAGTTAAAAAAAAAATTAATGGGCATGTGTCATTCGAGTAAGAAAGAGGCTGCAAATCAAAGTCTAGATGGTAATGGAGGAGTTCAACTGGTGGATTAAGAGGAGGTGGTCAGTTCTGGGAGTGGGGTGATGGAGCGAAGGTGGTTGGTTGTTGGACTGGGATGGGAAGGTGCATAGAAGAGGAAAGTGAATGGGAATGTGAATGAGTGAAAGTTCAAATGATGCGAAACATTTTAGTGAATCATGTGACAAGTTATTTTTGATAAAAAGCTTTTTTATTTTTATTTTTTTCAGTAGGACCATTTTTTGGGAGGTTGGAAACTAAAGTGAGAAAATCTTTTTCTTTACACTCTGTTTAGATCATGAATTTAGATAGAGATTTAGAATAGAAAGGGTAAGGGGTAAGGGAAATGAGAAAAAAAAATAACTTATATTTTATTCACATTATCCTCACGTTTTTCCTTTACCTTTCCAAATCCCTATCAAAATTCATGAAATTAGACACTGCTTTTAGAAGCAAAATGGGAAACTGATCATACTTTAGAGGCTAGAAGTATAATTTACTCTATTTCGGTCATAAAACTATAGCTATCGTTAGAATTTGGATTCAAGTGAGCATATTTTCTTTAATGGCCAAAGTGAGAAAGGTCATACTTTAGGGGGTGACACTATAGTTTACCCAATTTGAAAATACTTTTAACAAATACTCCTATAATTATTGCTTTTTTAACTAATTTGAAAATACTCTACCGTTGGGTATGGCCATTTGTAGTGAACTGTCCACCAATCAAGCAACATTTGCCTTGCTTCTCTAGGTAGTTTTCCTTTCTTCTTCGTTTTTGAAAATTCATTCTTCAGGGAACTAATATAACCACTATATTTACGAAAGAGTTTATCCTTAAGCTCTCGATCTTCAGCTGTCCGGTGAAAATCTTGCACCTGTGTCTCTCCCACACTAAAATCATCCTCAGATGACCCTGCAGTTTCATCTGGTAAAAAAAGCAATAATTATAAATACCATCACCCAAATTTAGTTTTCAACGTAACCAGAATTAACTCATGGTAATTTGTCCATACACAAAGCAAAGTCGTGAACACACTATCATGTATAACAGTCACAGAAAAGAGATAAGTGCATATTGCATCATAGCAAAGTGCATCTGATTGGGCTTGCCTTTCATGCTAACCTAGTTAAGATGAAAGGGTTTTGCTATGATGCAAATACGTACTTTTTTTTTGTTGTATGTGTTGTGTCTTTCATGGTCTTTTCATCAATAAAATTTTCTTTTGCTAATCAAAAAATAAAAAAACAAAATGGATAACCGTCATAACACTAATCACACTTTTCAAGCAGGAAAACAAGATAACAATAAACACTGAAGATATAATTTCTATTAAATGTTTGAGGACATGCTATCTTCAAAAAACATAGAAAACCACCATATGCTATCATTAAAAAAAATAAATAAATAAATTATTTATTCATCAAGGTGAACATATAATTTCTGAAAACAGTGATGTTCAAAAGCTTGTTTTGTAACTTAGCCTTCCAAACCAAAGAAATTGGAGATTTATGATCATAGCACCCAATAAATCGATTTGATTTTAGCTGTTCCATAATATGTAGTTCACATATGCATGAAGAAATATACGCTTACCATCACACTCAATAAATAACTTTTCTTGGAGAGTCCCAGGCTAACATCTCAAATGATTTCAATTTTAGAATCACAAATTAGAAGCTATGTTTAAAGATAACTCTAAATTGACTTTGTACTCTTATTGTGGATAATGTACAAAAACACTGCACAGGCATAATTGAAACAAGAAATAATGGATATTGACAAATGTTTAATAATTCTTGTGGTGTTGTTATCATTAACATTTAAACTAGCTATGTTCTGTAGAAAGGATAAAACTGTTAAGAAAACCAATCACTAAACTGTTTAATTCTATGTTACACAGTAATTCAATTGATGCTAAATTTGAGTACCAAAATTCACTTGGACCTTGAAATTTATAAATCAAAATGCCAAACAGTACGTTTGATTATCCCTTCCTCCAAGTCCGTAAAACCAAACAAAGACCCCCCATGACATCATTAACCACTGTTCAAATAACCTGCTCGTAAATTGCAATGTGCCAAAACTTATAACTGAGACCAACCTTTATTATGTCAAATTTTGTTTACAATGCAAAAATGGAAGATCACTCTCAGTCTCCATGCATAGAATACAATTTATATGGCTAAAATAGCTAATCAGCCTTTTATGCATAGAATACAAGGGGTGTCACTTGTTTGGCAAAATTCAGTTTTAGCCAGAAAGTCACTATAAGTTGTCACATCACTCTCTTTACTTTTCTGCACATCTTTTCATAAGAAGTCAAAAAGTTACTAAAATAATATGTTCCAAAACGAAAGAAATATAATTGTATTATGCTAATACGTCACATGTAATTAATCTCATCATTAGTAGGTCTAGCCATCTAGGTTTGTCTTGTACTACACCAATGCAATTAATCTCATCAGTATTGTATCATGTTAATCTCTATCTCTCCAACATTTTGTTTCCCATCGAAATGGAATTCGTAACAAAACCCCATCAAGGATCTCGTAATATTTTCCCAAGGATGTGATCTAAATTAGCACCCAAGGGATAGGGAGGGACACCTTTTCTTTCAAGGAAGTAACAATTTCAAGAAGGGACATCATACACCAATTTCAAGAGAATAAATAATATGGTTGTGGACCACTAGCACACCAATAGGAAATACCAATTTCAAGAGGGATGGTTAACTGTTGCTTTATGATAACCTAAATGTCCATATTCACATCCATATCCATATGCTTTCCAAATTTCTAGTCAACCAGAAATTGATAGCTACCTCATCCATGCACTTACATTTGTTTGTATAATATAACTCATGTTCGGGGAGCTATAGGTTCATCCATGCACTCACATTTGTTCATATAATATAACTTTAGTTTGGAGAACTATACATAGAAGTAGAATTTGATGGACTAGAAATTTATAAGGGTGCTGGAGAAATATGAAATTGAGCATGGGTTTTAGAAAATGTAGGACACACACACAGAGGAGGGGTAGAAGGTATAACAATAAGATCTATATCTATTTTATGTTGATAAATCCTGCAGATTTGTATTAGATGGAACTCATTGAGGCAAGGACAGATCTTTAAATGAATAGGTGGATCAACCTGATGCACTATTTATAGCATCTTCCTGTCATAGACAAAATTATCAAAGTCTTCATGTTTCTGAAATATACTTCATGGAATATAACAGCAGTTTTTATCCTTACATCCAGTTATATCATGTACATTTCACATAATAATAATGTGAACGGATTGTCAATATAAACTTGAAGAACTTGCTACTTTGAATAACATTGAACTACACGAGTGATTAAATATAAATAAATGCACAATGCCCAGAGAACATATGGATCATTTCTGTTAAGTTACCATTTGTCCCAAAAGCTTAAGCTATTAGGAACCAGACCTAACAATCTATATCAAGTTATCTAATACCCTCTCTCTCGTGCAACCCCGTCTTGCATGTGGAGATGCAAGCATACCCATACATGGAGAGAAGAAAGAAATGCAAAGGGTAAAAGAAATAATTCAAACGAGGACCACATACAAACAGCGAGACTTGAACAAGGACCAAATACAAACAGAGAAACTTGAACCCAAAAGCATCTCCAATCAACTCTTTAAACGAAGCATGTTAGTTATTTTAGCTAGCATTATCATATTTTAGTCACTCTAACGAGCTAGGTATTACAATAGTTATTTTAACAAAATTCTTCAATGTTAGCTACATTTGAAGAGTCTTGGGAGACTTTTTAAACAGTTTGTGGGTATAAGTAAGTAAAATAAAGAGTAGCGTTAGAGTACATAGATAAAAAATGAATTAGATAAAATAAAGAACATACCATTTTTATATTTTAGCTAGTAAAAAATAAAGAGTATGGTTGGAGTTGCTCTAAAACCTCCCGAACCTAAACTCTGATACCATCTTAAGCTACAAATTGTCCCCAAAAGCTTAAGATATTACAAACGGGCCAAACAATGTATATTAAGCTATTCAACAATGTTACGAAAAACCATAGACAATAGAGCGAACATCAATTGATCATGTTGCCAGCTAGTTATGAACAAACAAAATCAAGTAACTATAAAGAACACAAAACAAAAGATTACTCAAGTTCAATGTTATATAAGGAGCTAAGCTTATTCATCAAGTCAAGGTGAAAAAATAAAAAATCTGGACAGATGCTTCAACCACCCCCCAACCTAAAAAACAACTCCTCAACAACCAAAAATAAATAAATAAATAGACGTAGATCTGATTTTCAGAGTTAAACAAACATCAAATTGAGAGGAAAAATTAGCATTCCACATGAAAATTTATTTTGGTGGTCCATTTAATGTACCCTGAACATGATAATTCAGAGAAGCCACAGGACCATACAATTTGAATGTTCTTTATTAAAAAAAAATGGGCCAACAGAATAGTTGTCCGTAACCCAACAAAGCAAAGCTCAAATCACCAAAATAAGAGCTCTAGTCTCTCCCTTCCCAATAAATTAATAAATAAACAGATATACAAAATCATTATAAGAGTTGGCCTTCCACAACTATAGCATGCTGCAAAATGCCTTATAAGTATGATCTACTCTTTTCAGTTTGAACTACACTTTTAATGCATAACCAAGTGTTTCTTTAATTATCAAGTTACAAATCCAAGGCTGCCATTCAAAAGCAAATATCATAATCTCCAATTGCAAGAGAGAGCACTTGCTCTCAAAGTGATGGTTAAAATAGCCTGAAATACTATGTTTGTAACCTCGTTCTCACTACCCCATATAAATATTGCTAAAGTGAAAATCTGGCGACAAGTTCCATCTGTACCAAGTACAATAGATCATGGATTGAACTATTATTTTATTATGCATGCAGTTATGAAGCCTTAAAAGTAGGAGAATAACAAGCAGACAAGAAACTAAAAAAGGAAGTACTGGATGTGATAGGAAGACCAAATCACAACACCAACACATGCAAACACTATTTTCGAATCCTAACTCTTGATATCCTACTCTGCTGTGCAGGTGTTTTTTGTTCGACATGTGTGGGAATCTACCTCGTTGATGATGAGGATGATTATGGGAAAAAGGGGTCTGCTTTCAGTTCAGGTCTAACTTTATACACTTGGAACTCCACAAAATAATTTCTAATCAGTTTCTTTTTCTAACCAACGAAAGCATTTCTCATACTTTTTACAGTTTGGCTGGCAGCATTGGTCCATTCATGAGAACCTCCCAAAGGTATAACAGTTTTTGTCTCCCACCAATCGCATGCACTACTCAAATTTAGAACTCCTTTTTTAGTCACAGAACCAGACATTCTTTAAGACAAATTGTCATAACAAATGTTAAACAAAGCATACCAACTACAACAAATTTTTAAAAAGGCGCTAACATCATCGTGGATGATGTTTATTCTCTCTCTACATGTGCTGCATTTGCATCACCCAAAACAAGAGCAAGCATCATAGAAATTACAAATTCCATCCAATATTTATTTACGAAATAAATTCCCAATACAACAACTTTTCGACTATAATTTTCTTAATAACATATGTTAGAATTATTTCATATATCCATTTATATGGCTTCATTGAGCTAAAACCCATACGGTTCAAATATAGCTTCATTAAATGGATGGGAACTTCATCAAATATATTCTCTAAACAGAACTAACAAACTGAAAAAATATATTTGAAAATTCCTGAGATAAATCAAACCTTATCCTAAATATTTATTAGAAAAGAAAGTTTAAAGAGAGAGAGAGAGAGAGAAGAGAATGATGCAGTGAAGCATATCGGGAAGAAGAGCAAACAACAAGAACAAATCCGAACTAGAGATACTCACTTTAAGAGCAAACAATATTAAGAAAACTCTCGATTTTTATTAATCAAATATAAACTGTATTGCCCCAAGGTTTACATTTTTATTTATAATAAATCTATTTATTGTAAAACAAGAAATAAAATCAAAGCTAATAAAATAGGAAAACTAAGGTGGCATTTGGTAACGTTTACATTTTTCATTTATGTTTATAAAAAAACTATAAACTAGTTTTTGTTTATTTTTAGAAAAATAAAAATTGAAAACGAGTTTGATTTGAATATCATGTTCATAAAAAAACAATAAACTAGTTTTTGTTTATTTTTAAAAAAAAATAAAAACTGAAAATGAATTTGGTTTGAACAAAATGTATAAAAAAATTTAAAAACAAAAAAAGTTTGCGTGGTTCAAAAAATGTTGATCCCGTGGTTCGAACAGCTACGTGTTCCTTATGCATTGCTTCTGTGTTCGTTACGTGTTTTTCTTCAGTTTTTAAACTTTTGTAAACAATTTTTTCAATTTATGGCTTTTAATACAATTTTTAATTTGAGAGACCTGTTTATATACTTAAAAACTTACCAAACAAGTTTATATGACAACTTTTTAAATTTTTTTAAATATAAACAGAAAACTGAAAATGGAATGGCTACCAATAATCTCAAATATGGAAACTAAATAATTCTATGCTATTCTATACTAAATTACAATATTCATAATCAAATATTAAATCTAAAATAATATGATAAAAATATAAATCTGCTAAATCTTGTCTTCATCAAAGAAGGAAAAAAAGAAGAAGAATTTTTCATAAATTCAATGTAGCAATAAAAAATTAACAATACTCTCTCTCTCTCTCTCTCTCTCTCTCTCTCTCTCCAACATAACATCCTTGGGGCATCTGAATTGATCTTAAAGTCGTTGATACAAACACTAGATTCACTTGCGCAACCTTCGTAAAAAAAAGGTAAATTTAGAATGCAAATAAAATTAAAATGCAATATCATCATCCTCTTGTTGGGGTAGTGTGGATCCCGACAATAGTATTTTAGTATTTTTGCACTTGTGACCTTGATTATATATATATGTATATGTAATTGAAGAGGCAACTATCACTGTATATTGTATGTATCTATTTCTAATCATAGTGAATTGGCAATGATCGTGGACATAAACCTAGTTTCAAAATGAACTAAGTAAATTTTGCATTCTTGTGTGAGTGTGAATTATTATCTCTTTTTTATTTGCTCTCTATTTTCATGTCTCACTGATCAGGCTAGTTGTTATGAAATTCCTAACAGCTCCCAAGCATAGGCATTTGTATGTTATTTATAGCACAACTATTGGGGTGCTAGTAACCAGGGGAACTATAATTAAAAAGGTTAAAAAGCTGATATTGTAAAGATAACAAACTGAAAATTTGATGGATAAAGAACTTTTTGCTTCTTGAGTTAAGCTATGACAAGGAATTTGTAATTTACAAAGAAAATAATATCCTCCCTCCGTCCCAAAATAATAGTCTCTTTTAGAGAATTTAACTTCTTTTTTTTATAATACAATTATTGCAATTAAAAATATTAATTTTTCAAAATTACCTTTTAATAATACATTTTTTTTAGAATATCAATTGTCATAATTGTACTTTTTGTATTGTTAATGAATTTAAAAGAATGACAAAATAAGAAATTCATATTATTTTAGTCCTTAATTTTTGAAAATGAACTAATATTTTAAGACAATGAAGAATGGAATAAGGGACTAACATTTTGATACAGGGGAAAATATGGTCCAATTCAATTCTTTACCCACATTTACAATGAATCTAAACCACATAATGATTTTCTAAATAAATTTGTGTACAAACTCTAAGCTCATAGCACTGTTCTTTGTTCTTTGTTTCTCTGACTCATGTCCGGCATTATATACATATATATATATATATATACATATATACATATATATATATATTTGTTTTGATCAGTGACTGAGTGGTTAGTTGTTAGATTTATACCATGAGTTGAAATCCCACCATCTTCTTGCAAGCATTCATTTGTTCAGCGGATTAAGTTGGATGAGATTATGAATACGGTAAAATTAAGTGAAGAAATTATTAGTGTCATGTGTATTTATTTGTGCACTAGTGTGGTGGCATTATTTAGTTAAGATTACCAAAAAGTCCTCACATGTAATATAACTTTGTTAAGTTTTGTAAACTGGAGGGTAAAACAATATTTTAACCATCAATTTGTGTGAGGGGATTAGCAATTTCAACCCTCGCATGGGAATGCTAATCCCACCAAGGGCGGGCATACTCTCCTACGGGATTGCTAATCCAAGGACATTTTGTTGCACACAAACATGGTAGGTGCCACATATTGATAATCCAATCCTCCTTCCCAATTCCCTAATCAAACATTAATGCCTTGTCTCCTATTCCACTCCAAAGAGTAAAACCAAGATCTCCCATTATACAGTAGCACTTCCTCTTAATGGTTAGATTCCATCAAATGTAACTATTCGAAAGATTAATATGCATTTGATCATATACACAATATTTGGCCTATAAATTTGCAGAGAAAAAATCCTAAGCTACAAGTCTCAAGAAGACTTTACCAACCTCACACTCCATCATCAGGATATCACTGTTGAAACGTAGCTCATGTCACCACTAAAATGTGAAATGTCAAATCACCATACCCTATGGTGAAAGAAAGAGTTGTTTATTTCCATATACACAGACGAAAAGAACAATGAACTGACAAAGTAGAAAGAAGGAAAGCTTTTTATTACTGTTTACACGCCTCGTATAACTATGAGATTGGTCTTCAAGGTGGTCACATTCAAGGTTATGATTGTGTGTATAGACATGGACAAAATCAGAATTTCATTACTCAAATGATTAAAAAATAATAATTTTTTTATCATATACACAAAATACACATATATGTATATATGATATATAAATTATATATACATAAAAAATTTTAAATATCATAGAAGTAATTTCTAATAGCATGAATAAGTTTTTCTTTTTTTTATGTAAAATAGAAAGAAAATTCAAGATAAAAGAAAAATAACGGCCTTGTTTGGTTTGTATTTGAGAAACATATTTTGAGATAAAAAGTACGAAAATTTGTTTGGTTTGATTTTTTTTTCAAAAGATGTTTTGAAAAATCATTTTGAGAGAGAATTTTGAAAAAAATGATTGATTTGATATGTATGAGAGAGAGATTTGTTTGAAAAATTTGTAAACCAAACAAATTTTGAAAAAAAAATTTTGAGACAATTTGTTTAGCTTGATTACTTTTGAAAATTTATTTGTACAGAATTTTTCTTAAAATTTTTTAAGAAACACAAACCAAAGAAGGCCAAGGCTTCCTCCTAGCCCCGTCGCTATGTATACAAAAAAGTTCACCATTAATAGGGTATAGAGATGAAATAGAAGTTCACAATCCTTTAAAATATGAACAAGTGAAACATTCCAACCTGTTCTCTACTGTTCCTGAGGGTTTTCCAGCAAATGGGTCATTTTCATTTTAGGGTTTTGTTTTCAGATTGTATAGTTGTTGCCAAATCAGGAACCCTCTCGTTATATCACCGGGTACAAAACTACAAATGTTCTCTGATTTGCATTTAAAACCCTTTAAAAGGGAGAAGTATGGGGTTGTTGGTGCTAAAACGCGCCAGGTCCAATCCAATTACTAACGTGCGCTCTCTATCCTTCCATGTGATGATGTTTGTTATGATATCGAGTAACAACCTCGATCTAGCACAAAAGTAATGCCAGCTGAAAGTACCAGAAAAAATGTGACATAAAATCCCATCCATATTGAGCGGAGAAGACGAATCCATCAATACACAAATCTCAAGAAAATAAGTAAATAAGAAATCATCAGAGAGATTAGAGACCAGAAACGTAGCTTCTTCTGGAAGCTCCGCTGCAGAGATTGCTTAGCTGCGTCTCTATACTGTTCAAGAACGTAGTTGCTTCGTTGAAAGGCTTTTCCAGATCGGACTTATACTTCACCAATATATCGCAGTAAGTTTCCTAGAGAGAGAGAGAGAGAGAAAGTAAAAAGAAAAAGAGAACAGTGTAAACCATTTGATGAAGAAACTCAAAAGCGAGAGAGAGAAAGATAGAGAGAGAGAGAGAGAGAGACCATGAATTCGTCAAGATCAGGATCGGCAGTTGAAACGGGGGTTGATCTCAAACACTGATCGTTTTCTCGGCAGATTTCGTCAAACAGATCCGCCATCTCCGGTGGCGCTCCAACCTAGAAAACAATCATCATCTAAGAAAAGTCGATCATACAAACAAAGCAAGCACAAAACAATTACAATTACAATTTGTTCATTTTATAAATGTATTTTAGATATAGATCCAAATCTCAAAGCTAACTCCATGAAAATTAACCCTAAATAGTGAAATTAACCCTAAATGGCGCGTGAACAAAGTTTACTATAAAAAAAAAAAAAAAAGAATGGACAGAAATTTGCAAAAGAGATTAATTTTGATGCAGGTTCTGAAACCAAGACGTGTTGAGAAGAAGAAAACAAAGAGCAGAGAGAGAGAGAGAGAGAGAAAGAGAGAGAATTTCATCAGGAGAGAGTGTGACAGATTAGTGTCCTACTTTTTGGTATTATTGCAGATCTAACTTGATGCACAGCGTTACTGTTTCTACGTTGAAAACGACTATCAACCACAAAATTAAATAGAGACAGAGACACAGACATATATGCACAAATACACGTGAATATGTATGTATATATGTATGTAAGAGATAGTTGAAGAAGACGAGAGCTCTCCTCTACAGCTTTGCATATCTTGGTACCTTCTGGCAATCGATGAAAGCTTCCAGCAATTTAGGATAGAGAGGGTGAGAAGCGACTTTGGCTCGAATTGCACTTGAAACTTCTTCTTCTTCTTCTTCTTCCGAGGCGCTTCGTCCAAGTTGACTCACCATTGTTGGAGCATCAGAGAACGCCGAAGAGGCGCCGAAGATGTGGTCTGATCCGAACGCCGGAGAATCGACAGCATGGTAATTCAAGGACGATAGAAGGTGGTCCGGCGGCTGCGGAAATGAATGGCGGTGGCCAGAATAATCAGATGAGTTGAGTCCGTACATTTCATCATCATCATCATCCATTGTTGTTGTTTTGGGTTGGTTACCTAGAAGAGAATCAGAATCAGCTATATGGAGAAGTTTTGCAGTTATCACTGTTAAGTAGAGAGAAAGTGGAGAGAGAGAGAGAGAGAGGAGATTTGATTTGTGGTTTGTAGTGGGTGAGTTTGGTAATTAAAGAAAGAAGGAAAGAAATGAAATTGGAAGAGAACTGGAAATGGAGGAGCAGAGAAGGACTGCAAGTGTGGCGTTGGAGGGAAAAGAGAAATGTTTGAGAGCAATATGAGAGAGCTCTAGGGCGCGGTTTGTTTTCGGTGGTAGAATGGAGGATTTATAGTGGGGGATTTAGTGAAATGATTAAGGTTAAGTTTGGTATCTATTAAAGTCTCGTTTGGGATGTTATTTTTTAGTTAATTAGTCAAAAAATTATAAATTAGTCAATTAACCAATTAGTCATATCAAAAAGTCAATAATTACGGTTTTTTTCTACTTTTTTTCACAGTTTTTCGTAATTAGTCAAAAAGTCATCCCAAACATACAAGTTTTTTTTACCTATCTTTTTAGTCAATTAGCTAAAAAGTTACTAAATTAGCCTGTTTCCAAACGAGGCCTAAATAATACAAAAATTCAAAAAGTCACTATCCTATTTAAGTCACATCATCTTATTTAAATTACATTACATTTCTAACACATCACATCAAACACAATCCAAACCCAACCCATATAAGCCAATAAGTCAAAAAGTACACTTTTTTATAATATTCCAAACTAACCCTAAGTAAAATTGTATTTTTTTTTATGATAATTATTATCGTAGAAATTGTTAAATTATTTTTATATAAAATAAAAAATAAAATATAAAAATTAAACATTAATCTTTTAAAAAAAAAATTAATTCCCTCACTATTTTTCTAATATCATCTCCACCTCCTCCATCTCAATCCCCCTTCCAACCTCCATCTATATTACTTCCTCCATCCTAATCTCCTCCCCAACTCTACAATCAAATATAACACTAAGGGTTGGTTTGGGAAGTGGATTGGCTTTTTGACTTTTTTTGCTATTTTAGTCTGGGCTAAAAAGCTTGGTTTATGAAGGACTTTTTGACTTTTTTTGTGAGAGAAAAGTGTAATGATTATGGGTTGGATGTGATGTTTTGTTTATTATGGCTAAAATAGCCTATTTTGTCTTTTGTGGCTATTTTAGCCCAAAAAGCCTCTTTCCAAACATAGGCTAAATAACTTCACCTCCATCCTAATCTCATTCCATCTATTTAACCCCAAAATAAACGGGGCATTGGTTTGCTTCTCCGTGAGTAATTTTCAAAAAAAAAAAAATGGAAGAAAATTTAGCAACTTTTTTAATTTGTTTGGTTGTATATTTTAAAAGTAATTTTCGAGTTGAATAATATTAAGAATCATGAAAAAAATATCATAAAATGCTTCATGAAAAATTTGCATTCTTTGATTAGTGTGTGATATTTTCTTGTATGTGTAATCTAACGGTGAAAAATTTTTCATGATCATTTCATGATACTTAGCATTACTCTTTAGAGTTTGAGATAATTTGAAATTTTGTTGTAAGTGAACAGATGTATGTGAGAGAAAAAGTAATTGAGAATGAGAAATGAAAAAGAAAAAGTAATTGATTGATGAATAGAAGAAATAAAGTGATTTTGAAAAAAAAAATTTTAAAAATCATAAACCAAACAAAATTTAAAAAAAAATTAAAAACAACTCTCTCAAAAATAAACCAAGCAAGTCCCTAATAATTCTATGTGTGAGTTTTATTTGATGTGATTTTTTGATTTTATTTTTATTTTTATTTTTATTTTTTTTTATTTTTTACATCTCTAGAAACCCATTAGAGTTCTAATTTTAGGTATGAATCACTGCTAGAGGGAAAATTATACTTTGCTCCCAGGGTAAATTCAAGTAACGCTCTAAAATGGTCGGCAATTCAAACTCAAATTTTTTATCAAATTTAAATTTGATAAAAAAAATTAGCAAAAATAGTGTCCCAATTCTTTTACCAAACTAGTATCAAATAAAGAGAGATATACTTTTTTCATCAAATTAAGGGAACGTTTAACCTTTCATCAAATCTAAAAAATGATTGTTAGTAGACTACCAAATGGATAACCGGCCAATTAATCGGGTAGACGATCATTCGGACAATCGGGTGGACTCCATGATTAGGAAAAATTTGAACAAACTTTACAATAGGATGGTCGACCACCCAAACAATCTCCCAATCATCCTCCCAATCAACTAAATATTTAATGAAAATTGAAAATTTAACATTGAAACAATTGGTATCAGATGAAATTTTTAACTCAAATTGGGAGGGTGTTTGGCATGTGTTTTGTATAGTTTTTGACTTTTTACGAAAAACATAAAATATGAATTGGATTTGAAGTGATGTAATGGAGAGATGGGGTGTTTGGCAAGAAAAAAAATAGCCTAGTTTAAGCTAAAATTCACAAAAAGACAAAATATGCTAAAATAGCTAATAAAACAAAATATCACATCAAACCCATAATCATTTCACTTTTTCTCTCACAAACATCACATTCAACCACAAAAAAATCCAATCATTTTCTCAAACACAAAAATTTTAACCTACTAAAATAGCCTACTAAAATAGCAACTTCCCAAACGAAGCCATTGTGACTCAAGTGAGATGATTGTGATCTAAATAAGATAACGTGTTAAAATAGCACATGTTATTTTGTGGGTGTTTGGGAAATTGCTATTTTAGTAGACAATTTTGGTTTTTTGCTATTTTAAAAGGCTAAAATTTTTGTATTTTGAAAGATAGTTGTATTTTTTTTTATAGTTGAATGTGATGTTTATGAAAGAAAAAGTGAAATAATTATAAATTTGATGTGATATTTTATCTTATTAACTATTTTAATTTATTTTATTTTTTAATACTATTTCAGTCAAAAAAAATTTTAAAAAAAAATCTTTCCAAACACCCCTTTATCACATGCCAAATAGTGCCTTGGTGAAAAAAATAAATAAATAAACATTAGAGATGGTTTAACATATATTTCATCAGTTTGAATAGTAAATCTCACTGCCTTATGTCTCTTTTCAATATAACAAATGTCATAATTTATATGATGTAAAGAAATGTTCCTAAACGACCCGATAACTTCTAGTGTTGGAGGGTGTGATTTTAGCGTACAAACAAGGAGAAGCTCTGTCGCGGCCAGCCCCTGAGACTGAGAGAGAGAGAGCGCTCCACTTTTTCATCTTTGCCTCTATTTTCTTACGCTCCTCGGACAGCGCGTTACTCCTACTTCATACTTGAAGTTGCATTTGGGAAGTTGTTAGTTTAATCAGCCATTTTAGTTTTTTATTATGTTAATAGGTTAAAATCTTTTATATTTAGAAAGATGATTAAACTTTTTTGTTGTTAGATTAGATATAATATTTGTAAAAAAAATAAAATAATTATGAATTTAATGTGACATTTTGTTTTATTAACTATTTTAATTTATTTTACCTTTTTGTAAATTTTAACCTAAACTAGGTTAAAAATTTTCTTGCCAAACACCCCCATTATATAACTATTCAAATCTAAAAATTCTATTTACTTTTAAATTTAATAATATGATAATTAATTAAAATATTTAAAGTAAATTCCAGACATCTTGAGTTCGATTTCCACCCCAAGCTAGATTACAAGCGGGTCACTGTGTCTTAACCCGATCGATCAGCTCAAAAACCCGAGATTAATTGAGGTGCCCGTCTTAAAAATGCTGGCCTGATACTTGGTTATCAAAAACAAAATCATTAACTAATTTTTTAGTTACACATTAGTAGATTTAGAAATAAGGCTTATATATTACTTTTCTGTACAAAACTTGTTACCAATCTTTCAAAATTGTATTTTTTTTTTTTCATAATGTTTATTTTGTACAGCTTTTTATGTTCACCACAAAGAATATCACATTACCCTTTATAAGAGTTGAATTGGAAACCTTATTTCATAAAAAAATGTTACATAACTACAAAATTAAGTGATATTTTGAAAAGATAATAAAAAGTTAATTTTTTGACTTTTTTTTTTTGTTTTTGTTTTTGTAGCTTTTTAACTTTTTTTGTGTAAAAAAATAAAGAATTGATGTGACTCAAATAAGTTAAAAAGTGAAAAAATTAACTTTTTACTAGTTTGCCAAAATTCTCCAAAATGCATTGATTTATTTTGGACAAAGTTACCAACCCCAAAAAATTATAAATACAAAAAAAACTATCTATACATATAATTTGTTATGAAAGAATAATACATTAATAGCATTTTTATAATTTACATATATCGATTCTGTCTATAAATTAAGCATACATTTCATGTTTGTATACCACTACTTGTGTAAAGGATAAATTATACCAACGATCCTTGTATTTTGTCTCATAGTAAATTATACTAACAATCCTTGAATTTTGTCTCATAGTATTGGCGAGCTGGCTTGCTCAGCTCGGGTTTTTTTTTTTTTTTTTTTTTGTACTTCAGTGGAAAAAAATTAGTGAAGGAGAAGGGTTAGAAAATTAGTAAGGGATATAAACGTACCTTGTACCTGTACGAAGGTGAGGGAGAAGAGGAATTGCGAGCTTTTACATTAATTAATTATATAATATATATATATATATATATATATTTGGGGAATTTAAATTTTATCTTTATTGATTTTATTGAAACTCGCATTTGTAGTGATGCGTGATTAAATTATTTAAGAAATCTTTCAATTTATAATAATGTCAGTATATTTGTTTAAGATATATAACGCGTGATTGAATTTAGGAGTTATTTGTGATAATCTAAATAAGTATATTTTTTGAATTTTTACAAAAAAATGTACAAAAAAATAAAAAAATGATGTGATCAAAGAAAGATAAAAAGATTAAAAAATAAAATAAAATAAAAAGTGTCTACTAATATCAAAGATGCCAAACTACCCCTTAATTATGAAATGTTCTAATTTTTTTTAACATATATCCCAATGGATTGGATTTGGGATTTATAATTATTTTTTAGATCAAATTTGGACAAATATAGATGCCGATATTAGAACCGGGCCGGAGTTGAGCAGACACAAAATCCCGCCCGAACCTTGGTGCAACCGAAAGAATGCCCACCCTTACTCTTATGTTAATTTTATACTTTTAGTTCCAATACATCAATCTTGCCCTTTAATTTTTAAAAATTATGTTAATTTTTTAGTTCAATTGATAACATCAAACAAGAAAATTGATAAAAATCAATGACAAAATCATCCATTTGAAAATGAATGGAAGAT